GCGCCAGTGGCGCGATGTTCTGACGAGCGATTTTATGAACGGCGATAAACCACCAACGAATAGCTCGATTCAACGGGGGTAATTGCGAGGCGTTTTTACTACTGTTAGATAATGCAACGACTTTCGGTCGACGGGTTCATCGACTTGGTTACGTTTCAGCTCATGAGATTTTATAGGAGATTAAATATCGAGGAAATGTTAGGAGGATGGCGTTGTATATGGTGAATAAAATATGCATCCCACAAGGGTTAGTAAACGAACGAGAATTGCGTACCATGTGTAAATGCTTGCTCATAAATGGGGCTGTACAAAAAATGTTACTTGAAACGTAAATGTGTTGAAATGTATTGAAAAAGAAATATTGGAATATGGAGTGCGAGAAGGAATTGATATAATGTGGAATGTGAAGGATAAAATGATTCCATTAGACTCGCAGATGGGTGCGATTTGACTCTTTCGTTGGTATTCCGAATTGCAGATGGCGATGCATAAAATTTCCTACAACTAACTGTACGTGCAGTGCATTTTTAATTGGGTGCGAATTAATGAAGCCATTTTTTAGCCGAGGAATTCTTGCGGAGGATTGGATCCTTTACAAAACCTAAAATACGAACGTGTGGTTTAACTTGTCGAGCGATTGAATTATCGTAGAATAAACCTTGATGTATGTACACGAGATATTTTATAAATAATAAATCATTTTAAATGTTTGATAAGAGTATCTATATGTTTCATTTTTTGTAAAAAATTCCTACTTGCAATTTTCATAAAAATTTAATGGAACAATCGTATACGACAGCAGTACCCTCTGACGGAGAAGCGCTGAGATTATTTCATTGAGAAATTAGGTCATCATGTCTACCAACCTTTATTATACCTAACTTTCCATTAAATCTATCCTTCAAAAAATATTTACCCGCTATTTTAGTTAGTTGTAACTTGTAACTCAATGGAATTGATTCGTTTCTAACAAAAGTGAATAAGAAACTGCTTACTTCCACTGGATAGTGCTAGGTATACTATTATAATTAGATTTCTAAATTTAGAATTTTAAATCTAGGATCTTTAAGAATAAATAGAATGCAGCATATAGTTTTGTTTATATATTCCTAGTGAATGACGCAGTTTTGCGTAGTTCACGATTAGTGACAGGCATCTGTAGCAATTTTATGAACTCTATTTTCTACATAAATGGAAGTTACGACGATTGAACGCAAATAAGATAGGATGCAGAAATCACAGATTAATAATTTCATGTGGTCATTTCAGTGAGTATTGCATGTAATTTTTATAATGGATTTCGCAAATATTTGGAAAGTTGAATCATACACTTTTATGTATATATTATACGTATATTTTTCAGTATAAATGGAAATGCTAATTCTCGTAATCCATGGCCAGAACTTTGTCAGAAGAATGAAGTCAAACATTCTTCTCGAAAAAAAGATTTCATAAATATTACTGATGATAATAGAGCAGCAAGTTTAGATCATTCTGAGTATCCAGAACTTGGTAGTGCGCTTGTCAAGAGTAAAAATTTTGTTGTACCAAGAGATCATTGTTTGTCAAGACCCAACAGTGTGCAGATTGTATTACCCATGCAGACAAGTATGGAATCAAAGAGGTCAAAATCCTTAAAAAGGTATAAGAAATCAGATAAAATTTGTATTAACCTTCAGGAAGCTTTACAGGTAACTGTTATTAATATTATGATTAAGTGGTTATTCTATAATGATAAACGTTAAATAATTTTCACAATTCTATTTATAGAATACTATACACGCAAGTAAAATTGGAAAAGAAGTTCCTAAACTAAGGATTAATTTATACATGGGTAGTTTTGGATTTACGATGCCAAACACATTGGGCAAAAACAAATGTTCAGATCTAAGGAGAGTGAGAATATGTATTTCTAAAAACAAGAAGCCCTCGAAACTAAAGAAATTAATTTTGTTAAACCGTAATATGAAAGCACAAATTAACATTGAGAAAAGAGAAGCGTTCGAACGTAAAAAAATGGAAGCTATCTATAGAGATGTTGATGCCATGAATTTTGATGCCTTAAAAATTACAGCCGATCCAGAAACAAATATAGATTATGTTAGAAATATGTGGACAATGACGCTGTATGATAAAGATCACAGAAATGTAAATGAAATAAATATTTCAGATAATACATTATCTCACAGACCAGATGTGATTGGGAAAATAAATAATCTTGGAATTCAAGGAAGACGATTGACAAACAGATTGGTTGGAAGAAATAGCAGAACAAATTTTTCTGATCTTGTCAGTGACATAATAGAGAATGATATTGTCAAACAGACACTCTCCCTTCATATTGCAGAAGACCTGAAGGAAGAAGGTCAAAATAGCACAGATATAGATGATAAAAGCCTTATAAAATTTTCTCGTAACTTTAGAGAGTAAGTACTGTAAGTAAGCGCTTATATTCATAAACAGCAAAATATTTGATACAATACTTATATACTATCATATGACATTGTAATATACATATTTGTACACCTGATTCATTAATTCTTATTTATAGATGCAATAAACGATATAAACACATTACATTATCAAAATGTTTATCAGAACCTATCCTCTTTTCTATCCTATTTCCTTTCCATGATTATAACCTTATACAAAACATTATCGATTATTGATATTAAATTATTCTTAATTGATTTTAAAAATTCAAATACCTTACAGATACTGCACTAATATGTTAACAGTGGCCTTGAATGACAACCTTGAAAAATTCATACAAGAAATCACGAGACTCCAAAAAAGATTTCACGAGAAAAATCCAAACAAATCTAAGTACAAGCGTCGTTACTATTCCGGTTTGAAAGAAGTTCGTAAACACGTCGAATTGAAAAAGCTCAAATTCGTAATTATCGCTCCTGACATAGAAAAGGTCGAACTCGAAGGTAAATATCAAATTTTTCTTTCGAATGAAAAAAAGATGACGATCGTGTAATTTTAGACGGATTAGACGATCAAATCGATAAATTGCTCAATGCGTGTAAAAAAGAACATGTAGTTTACTGTTTCGGATTACGGAGAAGGAAGTTAGGATATTATACTCACGGAAAAGGGTTTGTAGGATGCGTTGGCATTGCAAATTATAGTGGAATTGAGGTAAGCAGACCATAATCCTTTAAACCATAACATATAAAACGCACAAAATATTTGAAAGACACTTTTTTCAGTTGCTTTTCAAAAATGTTTTAACGGAACTTGTAGGCGCGAGGAACGCGTTCAAAAAACTAAATGGCGACACCGAATCAATTATCGATATATCAAAGGTGATCTCGGAAGATTATTTACTTTCAGAAAATATTAATGCCCTTTTGAAAATTTTGTCCTATAATATGCATAGTTGATAAAATAATCATAAAAGCGGTGATATATTTGTATTTATTACGTATTAATTATGTATATAGAAAATATTGATTGGCATGTGATTTATGAAATCGATACATATCGACGTTTGTTATAATAGATATATTTTTTATAATCTGAATTTATATTATTAAATGCATTATTATATAACAGATTGTTTAGAAATAGTATAATAAATAGTATATTCCAATATGTATGTTGGCTTCGTATTAGAAATTATCTTCGTATCATTATAAACTTAAGTCAATATTATCATAAAATTCGTTTGATCTTGAAACAATTCCTAATCTCTTATAATATAATGTAATAATATTATTCATTGATAGACATTGAACAATTGTGAATTTTTTGAATATTAATTCTCTTTTGAAGTCTTTTACTGTTGAGCAAATCGTATATACATATATATACAAATATGATTAAAGATAGATCTACATATATGTAATAACCAAAAATCAGGACTCTAATATTCATTAATTGAGAATACCATAGTACGTATTTATAAACATTACAAATCTAAAATAAAAATCGCATTGATATATTGCCATTTCTAAGGGAAAAATGTATTATTCAAAGACAAATTACGCCCAATAGAAAGCGTAAAAGAAATCTTGCTTCTGTCGATAAATATATCGACTAAGTACATCGATCTTTACAAATGTACTAAAACTAAGGTTATCTCGTTCGTATAATAGTAGTTTACGTTTAGTTAAATGAACTGAATCGGCAGAAGTTTATTTAATCATGCAATAATTAGTTTTGTTTAAAGTTTTATTTAAATGAGCAGATTCAAGCGGACTAATTACACTCGCACCATGTTATAAATTGTAGATGGCGTAATAAAACCTGTGAATTGTCGGTATTACAGAATATAATTTTCCACTTTTATCGCTTCCGACGATTGAAACAAATATACAGATTTCTACATGCGACGTAGTAAATCGTAGAGGGCGTAACAAACTCTGAATTTTCACGAGGTCGGTATTTCAGAACATGAGACACGAAATCTCATATAATGTCAGGTCTATGCTGTATTTAGTCAATGCTGCGGCAGGTATTTTTCAGGGCAATATTAGTCGGTGTGTAAATATATTACATACATCGGTGTTTGCACAACACGTAATGCATACCTGTC